GAGGAAAAATTATAGATAGATAGATAGATAGATAGATAGATAGATAGATAGAAAGATAGATAGATAGATAGATAGATAGATAAATACCCGAGGCAGAGAAAGAGGGAGACATAGAGAGGCAAGTAATTGACAAGTTAGTCGATAGGATCACTTCAATAACGCTTTAAAGAATGGTTTAAAGCATTGAGAAATTTAAAAAAGAATGAATAATAGTGTAAATTGATAAACAGATAAACTAGAGATCCAATGAATAAACCAGTAAACAAGTAATTGAAATGTTAAATGAATATCTGAATGGCTAAACAAATCAAAGAGAACATAATTAAAGGGGATCACTTACAGTAACTTTTGCACGGATAACCCTGATCATTCTCCTGAAGAAGGTGGTCTGATGATCACCAGAAAACTTCCTCACGGCATAGTGATGAGCTGACAGAAACAGCACAGACACAGACAGTGGGTAGTCTCCTTTGCCACTTGCCTTGACGTCAGCAATACCTTCCAGCAGCTCAACCTCCTTGTCTCGATGATAGGCCAAAAATATGGCAGCATCTCTCAGAGTGGAATCGTCCAAAACGTCAAATTCATCGTCATCCTGACTGTTTGTGATGTCATCTTCCCGATTGCGCAGATTTTCGGGAATATTCGAAGTGAGAGCTTCCTCTGCGACATGATGTGAGTGGGTGAGAGGAGATGGGGAGTTGTTCTCAGGGTTATGGAGAGGGTGAGATGGGGTTGGGCCGTCTCGTTCGGGCAACCAGGGAACAGCTGAAGGTATGTCATGACCGCCTGTAGGGTCTTTGTAAAGAAAGAGGTACTGACGACCTATACCCAATAGGTCTCCAGGAAGTACAGTGGCCCTCTGTTTCACCTGTATCCCGTTGACGGTGACGTAAGATGACCTGTAGATCTCCAGGTCGAGGCAGTACCAGTACAGACGGGCGTCCTGAGCGGAGGTTTCGCCAACTTGCGGGAGACGCTTCAAAGTGACGCGGCAGTGTACGTCGGAAACATCATCAGCACATAACCTGATGTCGTCACTATTGCCTTTTTTCTCCGCACGTCCCACGCATAGTGATCTAGACTTGAGAGGGTAGAGCACTAAATCTTTCTGAATGCTGCATCCACGTAAAGTGAGTAGATAGGGGTAGATGGAAGGGCAGACATATGCCTGTCTGGTATCTCCTTCAACAATGTTAGTGAGAAGAGGTTCTCTCGGCGATGTGATGGACAAAGTGGCGTTTGTCATCATAGAAGCTTTGTCCCATTCTTCCTTCAAAGTGCCACGCCATTGTGAGTCAGTCTCTTCGGTCACCGATGAATTCGGTGGAATAACACCAGGGGACACTTTGGACATCATGATTTTACGCGCGTTATCGTTGAGGCCGATTGTGTCGTCATCACTGACATTCATTACAACGTCACAGCGTCGCCTCAACTCAAACCGTCGGCTTAATCCTTCTGGGGGTTTCCAGTAGTCCTGAAGTTCCAGTGGTCTGTCTGAATAGCTAAGAACACGTAGATACACCTGAACCCACCCTGCATCATCGCCAGCGGAATCGTCTGTCACTGTAGATCCAGAATTTGAAACATTCCGGCTGTCGAATTTGTTATTCCTTTTGTCAAGGTCGTTGTTTAGATTGTTGATGGGTCTCGGAGAGATTCCTGCGCCGGGCGTGGAAGGCACGAGCCTGGTAGAGCGCTCGCCCCGGGGTCTGTAGATGTCTCTCAGCTGAGCTGTTGAGCGGCTGGTGTCGAATACTTTTGGAGGGTTGTAGTCCAGAACCTCACCGGATGCGTAATGTTTCTGTGGCACTGGTTGGTGGCCGTTACTCCTGGGTGTGCCCTGTTTTGCGCTGACCAGCGGTGAGCCCCGAACAGTAGACGGTGAGCCACATGGAGTTCGGGGTGAGCCTAGGGGAGTTCGTGGGGAGTCCCCGAGATTTCTGGGGCTGCCAAGGGGACTCCTGTTGTCTTTCTTTCTGCCCTTGACCTCTCTTGGTGTGACTGACCCCAAACTTCTGGCGCTCACCTCACCGCTATGTTTCCTTTTCGACACTAACGTAGACGAAGACGTTACCGCTGATAAAGACAACGACGGCGGCGACGAAGATCGATGATGATGGTGTCCTCCTCGCTTTTTATTGTTTTCTGTTCCGGCCGTGGCCCGAGCTCGGGACTTTATACTCCCGGAGAGATCCGCCTCCTTCCCCTCCCCTCTCCTCCCGTCCTCGTCGGCTGAGGTGGTGGTGGCGGTGGTACACTTACCCACCGACTCGCACAACACAAAGTCACGGTGAAGACGACTGGGTAACCCGTACCTCTCCAACGCTTGTTTTATCAGCTCCTGGGCGCTGGAGCGAGTCGAAGCGAGGACGCTTTTGTAGCGCGCGCCCGCCACCAGCGATTCCCCGAATATCTTCAACAAGCCGGGGGCTCGGTAGTCCACTGAGAGCTCCGCGCGACCTGATCGAGGCGGGGATGGAGACCCCTGCTCTCCTCTGACGTCATGCTGACTGTGAGAACGCACCAGGGCGCGCGCGCGTTTGCGTCTTGCGCGCGGCGTGACAGTCCCTTCCCTCGGAGTGTAGGGGAGGTGGGGGTTGTCTCTGCCCGTCATTTTGCATGCCACATAGGCGCTATCTGCGCGATTTGATCTATCGATTGTTTACTGCGTTTCTTCTCTTTAAAATTTGATCGCTCATGCTGAAAGTGATGGCAGATCGTTCCACATGATGTATGGCCAGGCCAGCAAATGGTCGGTCTTAACCGTCGCTTGTCGTTGTGCCTGAGCGGACGCCATCTGACAAAACAAGGGAAAGAAAACAAAATAATTTTATCATGATGGCTTGTTTCAAGGTAAGCGGGGAAAGCAAAACACACTCAAATTAAATATCTTATAAAATTAAATACCCCCCAAATCAATACACTTACTGGTTGTTTTATTGTGCAATATACAGGTTGAGCGTAGAGCACATTTTAGCATCAAATTTTCCTCTTACTATACCCAAATAACGAAACAAACAAACAAACAAACAAACAACAACATCAACAACAAACAACAACATCAGCAAACAACAACAACAACAACAACACCAACAGCAAGCAACAACATCAGTAAACAACAACAACAAGGACAACAGCAGCAGCAGGCAATAACAACAACAACAACAACAACAACAACAACAACAACAACAACAACAACAACAGCAACAAACATAGAGGAAAACACCGATTCCTGTAACTTGGGACTACTGGCAGACAAGTTAATAGTAACTCTCACAACAGCAGATCCCTTTTTTCGATTTTATTTAAAAGCATGAGACTAAGAGAGCACACATGTAGCCTTGTATGCAAACAAAAAGCCTATTAGGTAGGCTTTAAATAAAATTTCTGATGAGCTTCTTCAGAGAACTAATAAAGCAAGAAGGAATAAGAAGAGGGGGCAGGTAGCTGCAAATTAAGTATTACGTGGCAGTCACTGAGTATAAGATGTAGGCAGTACTAAAGTTTAATAATTGTAATCAGTTGGAACGAAAAGGATAGCGGAGTGATTCAAGAACAAGAACAACAACAGCAACATCACCACCACCACCACCACTACCACCACCACCACCAA